AGGTGGCGCCAGAGCCGGCAGTGGGAGGAGCCAACTCATTCTGGTTTTGTCCTTACCGAGCTAGGGGACTTGATGCAAGGCAGCTTCTAGGAAGGTCAGAGAGTCCGACTGCTCCTTCAAAGAAGAGCAGGTGCATGGGATAACAGACCACTGCTAAAATTTGAAAGCCAAAACTCCGCACACTTTGTCAGATAAAGTGGAATGGAAGCAGTGATCTCCAGCCCACCGAAGCAATAAATGTATTCGCCTTTAAGGCATTGCAAGCCTTGGTTCTGTTTGTGCTGCAATGAATGCTGTCCTCCTCCGGAAGGGTCAGTAACGCAGTGGCAGAGGGAGGGGGGCATGCGGGGCGGACAGGTTCAACCCCTGGCAACTCCAGGTAGGTCCAAGAGAGACTTATTCTGCCTGATGCTCCAGAGAGCCACTGCCAGTCAGTGTAGGACCAATAGCCTGACTCAGTAAAAAGGCAATTTCGTATAACTGGGGCGAGAGCTGAACCAGAGATGCAGTGGTGCAAGGCATGCTATTCCTGCAAAGGGTTGCAGGATCAGTCTCCAGCATCTCTAGGTTAGAGCTGGGAATGGTTCCTCTCTGAATCCCTGGGGGGCAGCTGCCAGTCAGCGCAGACAGTACTAAGCGTGATGAGCCACTAAGGCAGCAAGGGTCACTGCTCCACGGGAGAGAATCTCCTGTGCATGCAGAAAGTCCCATGTTGAATGCCAGGTTCTCCCCAGGTAGGGCTGGGACAGAGCCCTGGCTGAATCCCTGGAGAGCCTCTGCCAGCCAGTGCAGACAATATTGAGCTGGATAGACTAATGGCCTGGCTCCTTATAAGGCATCTTCTTGTTAGGGTTAGGGACATAATTCAGTGGTTGAGTATCTGCCTTGCATGCAGAGCATCTCAGGCCCAATCCAAATTGGTGGAGAGCTGCTGCCAGCCAGTGTGGACCAAAACCTGGTTCCTTCCAGGCGTTTTGCACCACACTACCTGCCAGCACGCGAGACAAGAAATAAATAAAATAAATATAACGGCCAGCGTGCAAGGACCTCCTGTTAGGGTCCAGAAATGGTTCCAACCATCATTTTTGGCCGGGGGCGTTTGGAACAGGACAGGACAGCTGCTTCAGAACAGGCTGGTCCCATCAAGGTCTACTAGTCAAGGTGGCTGTGATCTGCCTCTGTTGTTGGAGGCAGCACACTTCTGAGTATCAGCTGAGTATCCGAGACTCGGAAGTGGGGAGAGCCCTGTTGCACCCAGGTCCTTCTCTGCGGCTTCCAGGGGTGTCACAAAGAGGATGATGACTTGGTTGGCCATTGGCCTGATCCCATCAGAGCTCCTTGTATCTGAACCCACCGGAGGGACCCTCTCGGTCATTCTTAAGGTCAGACACAGCTCCGGTCAAGTCTGCGGAGTCTCCTTTGTTGTTGCAGCTGCGTGGGGAGACTGAAACTTCCTTTCCCTGCTCTCTGCTATGTGATGGGGGGTGGGGGTGGGGGAGGACCCAACAGCAGCCCCTGAACCAAAGTGTTATGTTTTGATTCTGCTCAAAGTCTTCACTACAGCTTCCTTGTCTAAAAATTGCCTTTGGGGAAAGAAGCACAAACTGGGCTATTCAGTCGTGAGTACCACTTTAGGGGTGCGGGGGTCAGTTATTCACGTTTATAGCCTGCCTTTCCTCCCAAACTAGCCCACATGCTGCAAGAAGATCAGACGTGTGCATGTGCACACACACACTTGTGTAACTTCTCTGGTTCGTCTGACAAGTGTGTCAAAATAAAATATCTAGACAACCCAGCGATAGCCTCTGGTGTCGAGCAGTAGGGGGTTAGCCCCACAGCTCAGAACAAATCTGACCACCACTGCACACAAATAGTAACAAAGGAGATGTTGGCATTTGTGTGATTTAGTCCAACTCCCTCCCTCCCTCTCTCTCTCTCTCTCTCTCTGTCCCCCAGCAAAAATGGAGGTGTTGTCTATAAAGCTAACACCCATTTGCATGAGTGCAATACCCAGCTTACACGATCCATGATGCAGCCGGCACATGTACCTGCTCTCTGCCATTGAAAGGAAGCTCTTGAGCTAGGTCCATCTATGCCACTTATCTTCAGCTAATGGGTGGGGACCCACTATTGGGTGCCAGCCTGGTCCCATGTGGGTCACAACAGGAGCACAACCACCAAATGCACATTTGGGTTAAAAGTGGGTCCTGGATCTGAAAAGGTTGGCGATACCTGATCTAGGCAATTAGTATTGCCTAGGACTCGGACAGATGTATGGAAGTGGGAGCTGGACCATAAAGAAGGCTGATTGCTGAAGAATGGATGCTTTTGAATTATTGTGCTGGAGGACACTCTTGAGAGTCCCATGGACTGCAAGAAGATCAAACCTATCCATTCTGAAGGAAATCAGCCCTGAGTGCTCACTGAAGAAGAAGAAGAAGAAGAAGAAGAAGAAGAAGAGAGAGGAGGAGGAGGAGGAGGAGGAGGAGTTTGGATTTGATATCCCGCCTTTCACTCCCTTTAAGGAGTCTCAAAGCGGCTAACATTCTCCTTTCCCTTCTTCCCCCACAACAAACACTCTGTGAGGTGAGTGGGGCTGAGAGACTTCAAAGAAGTGTGACTGGCCCAAGGTCACTCAGCAGCTGCATGTGGAGGAGCAGAGACGCGAACCCGGTTCCCCAGATTACGAGACTACCGCTCTTAACCACTACACCACACTGGAAGGACAGATCGGGAAGCTGAGGCTCCAGTACTTTGGCCACCTCATGAGAAGAGAAGACTCCCTGGAAAAGACCCTGATGTTGGGAAAGATGGAGGGCACAAGGAGAAGGGGACCGCAGAGGACGAGATGGTGGGACAGTGTTCTTGAAGCTACCAGCATGAGTTTGACCAAATTGCGGGAGGCAGTAGAAGACAGGAGTGCCTGGTGTGCTCTGGTCCATGGGGTCACGAAGAGTCTGACACGACTAAACGACTAAACAAACAAAACAAGCTTCCTTATACTGAGTCATCAGGTCCATCTAGCTTAGTATTGTCTACACTGACTGGCAGGGGCTCTCTGAGGTTTCAAGCAGAGGACGTACCCAGCTTTACTTGGAGATGCCGAGGACCTTTTCTATGCAAAGACAGATGCTCTGCCACTGAGCCAAAAACCTTATACTGCAACAACTTCTAAGGATACTCCCACGCAGACAAAATCAGAACCAGTATCTACTGCAATTTCACACCATCTTGATGCATAATCATCAGTCTCAGCAGTGCCCTAAGCCTGGCAAAAACATTGTGTACATAATTCAAAAATACCTGCAGTTCTGAAAGTCTTTCCCAACATAGCACCCCTTTTGCGTAGGCATGTAATGATTCTGATGGAGCTTACAGAAGAAACCCACCTTTGCATACACTGGAAACCCTGTGAGTACGTATCACAGAAGTGCTTCTGGTGGTCTCAGCTGTGCCACTCCAAGGGCTCCCTGGGCTGTATCCAATGCTGGTCCTACTCAGAGAAGGCCCACTGGAATCAATGGGCCCAAGCTAGCCGTGCCCGTTGATTTCAGCGAGTTTACTCTCACAAGGACTAGCGCTAGATACAAACCTATGTATGGTTTGGGACTATGGTTGAATGGGTTGAGATGCATTCTGTTCTCACAGTGACTGACCAGATGCCCATGGGAAACTCCCAGGCAGGATCCGAGCACAAGAGGGCTCTCCCCTCCTGAGGTCTCCAACAAATGGTACCATGAGCATTCAGGGCCCGTGCAACAGATGACAAATAGAGGCCACTCTTGGTGTTGAAACCAGACACATGCCAGAACAGCAAGCACTTTAAAACTGCCATGCCAGCTGCAAGGGGCCTGATCCAGTTACATTTTTGCACTAGTGGTAGCCAGCACAATGAGTCCCACTAGTGCAGCGGTTCTCAACCTGTGGGTCCCCAGATGTTGTTGGACTACAAATCCCATCATCCCTGGCCACTGGTCATGCTGGCTAGGCATGATGGGAGTTGTAGTCCAACAACATCTGGGGACCCACTAGTGAAATGGGACTTTCCCCATCCTTTCCTGCTCATGTACGCCCAACCCCCCAATCAAATCTGCTCGGGAGGATTGGGAGAATACCCCAGAGCACGATGTGAGGGGACGAGAGGGGAGGTTGCTCCATCCAGCAAAAGCAGAAGTCATTGTACTGACGGAACGGTCATCTTAGTGTGACACTGAATTCCACCCAAGGTCCACAGATGCTCAACTCACCTGTAGGACATGCAGGCCTGCTGCACACCAGTACTCTACCTGCAACAGAAAGGTCCTGGACCATGACCAACTATTTGCCCATGTATCCCAGCATTGTCTACACCAGGCATGGCCAAACTCGGCCTTCCAGCTGTTTTGGGACTACAACTCCCATCATCCCTAGCTAACAGGACCAGTGGTCAGGGATGATGGGAATTGTAGTCCCAAAACAGCTGGAGGGCCAAGTTTGGCCATGCCTGGTCTAGACTGACCAGCAGCAGCTCACCAGGGTCTCGGAGGTAGAGGCTTTCCCGATAATCTGCCCTCTGATCTGAGATGCAACCTGGGGGCCATCTGCACTGAATCATGGTCCTTCCCCACTGTTACACTGACTGATGGATTTGCACCTGCCTTCCCCAGTGCCCTCCAGATGTCCTGGACTAATTCTCCTGTCCGTGCCAAGGCTGATGGGAGTTGTAGTCCAAATCACTTAGAGCACACCAGGTTGGGGAAGTCTGCCATCTACCTAGATCAGCTGACAGATAAACCTTGTCACCTACCTTAGAGCGGTAAGGTAGGCAAGCTAAAATTCAGGGAAAAATAAAAACTGAGCTGTTCTGATGCTCACGCTTTAGGTCCACAGCCGTGTCGGCACGATCACCTGACCTACCTGCACAGTGGCAGTGCTGTAAGTAGTATTCAGCAAGCACTCTGAGCAGGTAAACAACTGCATAAACACTAAAAGGTTATTATGATGACAGCAGCAGCGAGGGCAACAGAACAACATATGGCTTCATTTATAAAGCAAAGGGAGGAAAGTGCAGCTGCCAATCACTGTGTCGGGGGACGGGACGAGAACGGTGGTGCCCTCCAAGCAGGGCGGCAGGCGGTGCAAAATGCTCCGAGTAAAGTCCCAACCTCCATCCATCCATCACGCATGTCAAGAGACTGATCATTTCCTCCTCCGGGACGAGGAAGGAAACCAAGTCATGAAGGACGATTCCAACGTTGCAAGAAGGGATGAGCAGAAAGCGTGTGCAAGAGACAAAGGACCCCCTCATGGAAACAGGGAAGGGTTGTTGTGTTTTTGTGGGGAGGTGAGACAAGGGGATGTTCTTTCGACAAGATAGTGCTTTCTGAAAACTGAGCCGTTCAAACCCATGCAGATAGCCAGTCATATAAGCTAGAGGACCTTGCGTCTCGAAGGTTATCTTGGTCCATAGTCATAGCTGGTGGGAGCTCCTGCGGTGGAATACATGTTGGCCGCAGCGGCAGCTGCTGCAGCGGCAGCCGCCGAATTCATGTGATGGTGATGGTGGTGGTAACTGTGTCCCCGGATGCTGGGCAAAGGGTAAGGGGCTGGCCTGCTCTTTGCCCCCAGGTAATGGTCGTAGGCAGAGACCGGGTGCTTGTAGGGGTGGTGGTGGAGGGGCTCCGAAGTGGATGGCTCCAGCCGCAGTTCGTGGTGTGGGGGGCTGGGCCGGCTCCCTGCCGGGCTGGTGAGGGGGACCAGACCCCCTCCACCGGGCACAGGGAGCGCCGGGCTCAACACTCGGGACATGAGCTGCTGGTGGGCAGGATCTGCGTGGAGTGGCGTCCCGCCGGCTGCGTCCCTCTCGTATTCCCGACGACTCTCCGCCACATCTGCAGGGGGCGCCAAAGAGGAAGGGGGGGAGAAAAGCACAAGAGTCAGTTGGCTGGCAGGGGGCTTGGAAACTCCAGGTCACCTCCAGGTGCCCATCTAACCTCTAGAGAGGGGACCCATCACTCCAGAGTGAAGCCAGGTAACTCAAACTGATACAGTTTTAGCCTTTGTAGTGCAAACATGCGCCACTGCAGATAAGAACATAACCTACTGGATCAGGCCAGCAGCCCATCCAGTCTGGCGTCCTGCTCTCACAGTGGCCAACCAGATGGGAAAGCAGCAAGCAGGATTCAAGCACAAGATGCCTGTGGTAGAGAAAGGCTGGACAATATGGCGGAGTCACCCAATTCTGACCTTTTGTCAAGCCACGTCATTAGAAAATAAGGTGTATGGTTGCCCCAGGTGCTTTGGCTTCTAGGCTGTTTTGACACCAGAAGAGGAGTCCTGCCAGATCAAGCTGAACATAGAACAAGCTGAACACATGTAGAACATAGCCATCATGGTGAGCAGCCATTGATTTGTCTAATATCCTTAAGAATGTAAGAGCAGCTTTGGTGGATCAGGCCAGTGTGGCCCATCTAGTCCAGAATCCTTTTCTCGCAGTGGCCAACCAGATGTTCACCGGAAACCCACAAGCGAGACTTTCCCCAGCCTCCTGTGGTTTCTAGCAACTGGTATTTGGAAGTACATTGCCTCCAGCTGCGAAGGTGGAGCATAACCTCCATCACCCCTGACTTGGAAGGAAGAGACATTACATGCGAAGGAGTCTCCTACATATTCCCACTTTGATCTCTCCTCGCTTGCTCAGAGGGGACACATAAACAGGCCACGTCAGCCAGGAAGAGACTACATCGAATGGCAGCAGCCCCCTCACTGGGCAGTGGGACCTCTGCAAGCACCTAACAATGCCAATCTATGGCCCCACTCCTTTTCTTGGAGCTGTGGGCCCAGACACTCAAAGCAATTCAAGTCACCCCAGAGACATGCCCTGTCCCCAGTGCAAAATGGGGTGCGGTGGAGAGATTGAGAATAAGGTGCGCTTTTACAAACAGAAGCGGTTTGCTACTGGTCATGGTTTGTTGGAGGAAAACAAACCACTATTGAAGGAACGTGGGAAGCTACTTCACACTGAGCAGCACCAATTGGTCCATCTAGCCCAGTACTGTCTACACTGACTGACAGCAGCTTCCCAATCCTACCTGGAACCTTCTGCCTGTAACGCAGGTGGTCTCCCACTGGGAGTCATGGGACCTTCCTGGTTCAGACACAGTGCTAAACCAGAGATTGTGACCACCTGTTTTGTAGAGGCTTGTGGGAGAGGAGGGTTCTGAACCAAGGAGTGCAGTTATTATTTCTGGATGATTAAAGGAGGAGATTGAGATTTTGATTGATTGCTTTGCATGTTCTACTAAGCTCTTCGTGAAGTTTTAGAAATAGCTTCTGCACACCTACACCTACTGAGACGCTGCTCTGTTCCGTGCGACCACGTTTCTTAAACAAAAGGACAGCCCTTTTTGTTTGTGTGTGTGTGTGTGTGTGTGTGTGTACGTTGTTGTTTTTTCTTAGCTCAATGATCTTAAGTTAACAGAAGGGAGAGGAGGAATGCCAGGGATAGCAGCTCCCCACCCCCCCACCCCGCTCAAATGAAGTGTTTAACATTGTGTTCAGCAGAAATCTGTGCTCCTGGGACAAGGCATTCTGACTGTGATAAATAGAGCTGAGTTGAGTGACAAGTTTGCACACGCTTGAAATTTTTGCAATTGTATAACACTAAACAAATAGAGACTTCTCTTTATTTTAATAGGCCTGGAGTGTGCTGGAGGGAGGGAGGAAAGGCCCCCACCCCCAAGATTCTCTGCGCAACTGTTTACTCTGGGTAATGGAAAAGGAATCAAATAGAGGTGCCTAATGGGTTTGCTAGGGGGGTCCTGCAAGAGGCTAAATACAACTACTGGCGGTTGTGTTTTCTTGCTCCTTCTCTTTTGGTTTAAAGAACAAGAAGAGGAGCATGGAAAATGCTCTGCTCAGGTGATTGTTGAGGAGAGTGAAAGCCTCAGAGGTTAAAGAGAAGCCAAACAAAACAAATCCCTAACTAATTTTAAGTTTCAGCATCATAGGCAGGCAATCTGGAAGTAAAACAAATATTCTATCCTCTGGTTTATGTTGTTTCCCTGGGATTTATGTTTCTCCTTATAATTATTTTTGAACATTTCAAAACTGAAGTTTGTGTGCCTGCTAATACACTATACAATTTTAAATAATGCATCTAAGGAAAGGTAAAGGTCAAGGGACCCCTGACCATTAGGTCCAGTCATGGCCAACTCTGGCATTGCAGCGCTCACCTCGCTTTATTGGCCGAGGGAGCCGGCGTACAGCTTCCGGGTCATGTGACCAGCATGACTAAGCCGCTTCTGGCAAATCAGAGCAGCTCACGGAAACGCCATTTACCTTCCCGCTGGAGCGGTACCTATTCATCTACTTGCACTTTGACGTGCTTTCGCACTGCTAGGTGGGCAGGAGCAGGGACCGAGCAACGGGAGCTCACCCTGTTGCGGGGATTCGAACCGCTGACCTTCCGATCAGCAAGCCCTAGGCTCTGTGTTTTAGACCACAGTGCCACCCGCGTCCCTTCCACTAAGTATAATGGGACTTAATTCTGAGTAAAATATGCATAGAATCAGGTTGCACAGCTGCAAGCTGTAGATACTTACTTGGAAGTAGGTCCCATTGAACACAGAAGGACTTACTTGTGGGTACACACACATAGGATTGGTCTGCAAATTTAAGAAATAAAATTGGAGGGGCCAAAATTCAACAGATGCCAGTAAATGTTCTTATCTTTATATATCGGATGCAGGACAGTATGTGTTTATGTATACGGACAAACAGACATATATTTTCACCTGCACCCAATGAAGTGGACTCTAGCCCATGAAAGTTAATGCCATAACGACTTCTGTTCCTCTTTAACATGCCACGAGTCTCCTTGCCATTACTTGAGTTGCTTATGCACTTCTATGCATACTTATCTGATAATATTCCATTGAATTCAATGGGCTTTATTTGGAGTATACATGTATAGTCTGCACGGAAACAGAGTCTGCCTTTGAGCAACATCCTTCAGTTTCACAATTAAATATGTGTTTATACTTTACCATTAAATATTTATATTGTTAGATGTTAAGTTTTGATTAGATTTGGTTTTGCTGTGTTTGTCATTTGATGACATAATACTAACTTTTTTGCTTTGTATTCGAGAATATATATGACATGTTGTTAAAATATGTGATTTGGTTCAATCAAACTTCAGATTCTCGTTTTTGAATGAACAATTGTTTCTTCGGGCATCATTGTAGGTTTATGAAAATAATGATGGCATTGCACTAATCCTTTACATAAAACTCTTGACATTATTTTGTTTGTCAACTATGCAGGGAACATTTATCAATGGGTGGTTACATGCATCTAATAAATAATAATATCAAACCAACAAATTTGTTCTATGCACATTTTTTTAAAAAAATACTAATTAATAGCCAAAATCAAATCCACCCAAATTCAGATAGTTGCACTGTATCCTGTACATGCCTACTTAGAAGTAAGCTTCTGAACTGCCGTTCTTGGATTGCCCCGTCAAGGCCTTACACGGTGCAAATAACACAGTCGCAATTGGCTCCAGATTAAAGTATTCATCATTCCTGATATAAATATTTTAAAAACCACAATACCCCACCCTCTGCACTCTGTCTGAAATTGATAGGATCGTTGACATTATTTATTATATCATAAGAAAACCTCAAAGCAGTTTACGATGATATTTATGTATAATGAAAATGCACAACAAATTTAAAATTAGAGACCAACTATCATTCAGCTGACTATCATGGAATTAAGATGTGCTCTTAATTGTCTGCATAAGTCTAAGGTGGAATAGCAAAAAAGTTATTTGTAGGCATTTGAAGGTGCCTGCAGAGTCTCTGTTTGCAGGGCATTCCATAGTTCTGTACTTAAAGGGAACTCTGAAATGTTTTGCTCAGGCACACAGGGACAATATATCAACCACTAGAATCCCGGGGCTGTATGGGTTATGTGTTCGGGTGCCCTCCCAGACCTCCCCCTTTAAATTGCAATTCAGCAGGTCTTTGAGTCATTCTCCCCAAAGGCTTGAACTAAATGCACGAGGCCCTCCATGCAATTGGTAACTCTGTGGCTGGCTTTTAAAGCGTAAATCGCAGAGGCTGGAGCAAGGGAGGGCAATTTGGAATGGGACTCCAGAAGGCAGGTGGAGGGAGGGTGTGATCCAGATTCATTCGCCTCCTGCTCAGGAGCCTGGTTCCCCTTTCCAGCATTTTTTGATAGTGGTCTCTCATCCCTGCAGAGCAGAAGAATTCTGTGCACCTAATACAGAAAGCTTTGCTTGTGGAAACCTGTTTTTCTCAGGCGCATTGAGGCCACTGGATAGAAACTACTGGATTGAGGAAGAGGCAGTGAGCCCCACTTGCTTAAATAGGATAAACAGCCTATTGTGAAGTTTGCCACCTGAGCAAGTAAGTGCTTGGGGTGGTTTCTGCAGCCGTGGGCATTAGCAGCAAAACCCCAGAAGAATAACCAGATCAGCTTGCAGAAGGGAAATAAAGAAGCAGAAGCTTCCTCCCGCTGAAGCTCTGCTAGTAACTCAGACGCTTTCTCTTTTGTGAGCAAGATGTTTTTCTTGTAAGACTATAAACCAGACTGGCAAACCTCCAGGCACTGTGCCTCGACTAGTCAGTGGATCTGGCTGCTAATCACATTTAATTTAAGGCTCCTTTGCATCACACCACTTAAAGCCAAGCGCACACTTAGAGCTTCGTGTGGAGGGTGGAATCCCTAACTCTTACTAAGGCTGTCCCTTGTTCCAACGAAGTGACTTGTGGCCCTTGAACGACTCTTCCCACATTTACCCATTATTGGCCCTACCATTAGGAAGAGTGAGATATCCTCTTTTTCCATGTGGGGAAGGGTCACAGCTCAGAGGAAGAGCATATGCTTTGCCTGCAGAAGATCCCAGGTTTAATCCCCAGCCTCTCTGGGGCCAGTCTGTACACTGGCTTTTGACTGTATTGGTTGTATTGACTGTATTGACTGTAGAGCCAGTGTGGTGTAGTGGTTAAGAGCGGTAGATTCGTAATCTGGGGAACCGGGTTCGCTTCCCCGCTCCTCCACATGCAGCTACTGGGTGACGTTGGGCTAGTCACACTTCTCTGAAGTCTCTAAGCCCCACTCACCTCACAGAGTGTTTGTTGTGGGGGAGGAAGGGAAAGGAGACGGTTAGTCGCTTTGAGACTCCTTCGGGTAGTGATAAAGCGGGGTATCCAATCCAAACTCTTCTCCATTTGCCTCTGCTGTGGGCAGTTGGGAATCTGGGGAAGGGCCAAAGCTCAGTGATGGAGCCAGTGGCGTTGCAACGGGGGTGGGGGATAGGGCGGTGTGCCCCGGGTGCCATGTCTGCGGGGGTCAGCAATGTCTAGGCAACACGATGACCATGTGCATATGCAATAGACAATCTTTATAGAATTCCTTCAAACCATAACAAGTACAAAATGAAATCTTTAGTCTCAAAGTCTCTGAAAATCTTTAAATGAAGCGAGGTACCAGACTTTGTACGATGAAAGACAAGCTGTGAATTCTACGAAACAATAGTCAATATCCGGAATCACTGTTCAGTGTTGGACATCATATTTGCTGGATACACAAAGCTTCACAGCTTGTCTCTCATCTAGATGAACAAATAGTCTGACCTGTCCCAGACTCAATCCATTGCATCTCTAGGTAGGGCTGGGAGAGACCCACTGCCAGACAGTGCAGTAATTCTGAGCTCGATGGACCAATGGTTTGGCTCATTGTAAGGCAGCTTCCTGTGCTCCTGTGAGGTGGATGCTCCCAGATCTACCTGGTTGGACCTTCTGCATACAAAGCTGTCAGCCTGCTACTCAGCTATGGACCTTCTCTGTTCTTAGGTTGAGTTTTTAAATCTACCATAACAAGCCACAGCTGCCCTGAATGCAGGAGGTTTCCAACCATTGTGACGAAGACTCACCTTTCTCGGTCCCATTCTGGTGCACAGGGGAAGATACTGGATTTCTAGATCTGGCAAAAGCACTCATGAGAGGCAGGGCTCCAGGCCGGTGATTCCTGGGCCTAATGTGGGAAAAGAGTGGACAGAGTTTAGACTTTTCAAAGGAATAATGGGCTCTGAATAATGAATACACAGCAAGACGTTATGTGAATAATCAATCAATCCAGCCAGCCAGCCAAGCAACCAACCCAATTCTCCAAGACACAATCTAAATAAGGCTTCCCAAATCTCAGCACCCCCGATTTCCCTTGAAGTTGAGGTAGCGCCCCAAATGGACTCCAGCTCCATCTTCCCTTGCTCTCTACACCAGGGACATGTTTGAATCCAAACCTAGGATGAACCTGGACCTTAGCAGAGGAAGGGAAGAAAAACATCCTTACCAGTCTTCTGGATCACAGTCCCGGAATCCTTTTGCAAAAGGGTTGCTGGCAATCTTTAGCTGGGTTATCTGAAGAGAGAGGTTCAAGGAAAGTAAAGACGTCAAGGGCCATTAAGGAACAACAATGTCACACTAACCAAGAGGGTGGAATCCCCAGGCCCTCAAGAGGGCAAGTTGCTCTGTTTTATCCTATATCAATTGTTCCAAAGCATGCCACACCATAAAGTCAGGGATGAGGAACATGTTGGACTCCAGTTTCCATCAGCCCAATCTAGCATGGTCAATGATCAGGGAAGATGGGAGTTGTAGTCCATACCAGCATCCTCAGTAGGATCATAGGTTCCCCACTTCTGTTTTACACTGAATATGCAAGGAATTGACCCGGGGACCTTCTGTATGCAAAGCTATTTATGAGCCACTGTCAGCTCCCTCAGTGAAACTGGCTGAATGCTGGGCACAAAACCCGCTCAAAGAACTAACACTCAAGAAGTACATAGGGTTCGTTTATTTGCAGCTCCCTTTATTCTGAGCACATTTTGATCGCAGCATGGTTTTCCTTCTTATAAATAAATAAAAGATTTTTGCACCTTTTAAGAGAGAACACTGAATAGGATCCACCCCAGTCTGGTATGCAGAGGGCACATTAAGCACTTGAAATCCACATTGGGTTTCATGCCAGAGAGTTGAGCACATATGCATCTTGCTCCAACTAATGGGATTTAAACACTTTTAGTTATGGCTGCATTGCTGCAGCCTAGAGATGTACAGCACACCAAGTACAACATGTCTGTGGTGTGTGTGTGTGTGTGTGTGTGTGTGTGTGTGTGTGTGTGTGTGTGTGTCTGTCTGTCTGTCTGTCTGTCTGTCCAGGATTGGGAGGGGAATGTACAGTGCTGGATTACCCAATAAGCAGTCTATGCATGTGATATGGGCACCAGCAAAGCAGCAACACAGGAAAAAAATGAGTTGGGTTTTTTTTTTTTAAAAAAAGAATTTGACATGAGGTAGAAGAAGGAAGGAAGGAAGGAAGGAAGGAAGGAAGGAAGGAAGGAAGGAAGGAAGGAAGAACAACCGCAGCAGAAATATGGAGTACCATACAAACACAGATCGAAATAATGCAAGGGAATCAGATTCTGTCTTGTGTTGCAATAAATCCTTGTTTTCTTATTCTAATATATTCTTCTGAGCTATACGCACTTGATTCATTTTTCTTTTTTGTGTGTGTCATAATTAATGTGAACCGAATCACATTTCTCCCCCATCCCTAATACTGGGTCCCCTTTTTGGTCGTGGCACCAGGGATGTTTCGAAAATGGTTACAGGCAAATTCTCTCTCTCCCTCTATGCCTTGGAAGTTCAACCACATGGCTGCTCGCAAATGCAAAATTGTACTCTGTGCTAACGCTAATTTGGGGCACCAGGGAAAGGCAGACCCACCCCCACCCCATAACATACATTGATCTGTCTGAAATGCAAATAAACTTGAAAGAAGACGTCACTTCATATGCCTCCCCCCACCTCCCTCCTCTGCCAAACCATCCCATCGCCACAAGAGCAATCCTGTATTTGTTTCATTCGCCAGGGAGAAAGACAGGGCATTCTCTCTCCCCCCCCCTTCCACCCCCCCCCCATATTTAAGCGAATCCAAGGATAAAGTATGTGATTGTGAGTTTCCGGAATGGGTTGAAAAACAAACTTTAAGCCCCTCAGTGACAGTTCCAGCCTTAGAGGTCAAACTGATAGAAAGCAGAAGAGAAGGAGCAGCTGTCCCAAGCCATCAGATAAATGCCAGTCGGGAGGTGGGGGGCAGAGAAGTCTCTTAAAGGCACCGCACTTGGCTCCCATGAAGGTTATTTTCAGATGTTGTCAGAACAGCAATTGCAGAACCTCTCCCCCTCTTCCCACCCCCCGCCTGCTTCACTTCTGATCTTATTATTTTTAGTGGGGGAAATGAAAAATAACAGGCCCAGAGTTCCATATTCTTTAGCAGTATGAATAATACTACTCTTGTTTCTTAGAATCGAGTCATAAACAAAAAGACTATCAGCAGCAATACAGGTTTACACACACACACACACACACACACACACACACACACAGGCAAATTGTTGCATTTGCAGATCAGATTGGACCCACGGATTCAGAGGGACTTCCAGCTGTGTGGTCCTGTACACGCCTGCTCAGAAGTAAGATTCACCAAGTTCTGTGAGGCTTGCCCCCAAGGTTCATACGTATAGGATTGCAGCACAACAGAGCAATCCTCTGCATGTTTGCCTCAGAAGTAAGCCCCACTGTGTTCAGTAGGGCTTGCTCCCAGGCAAGCACGCTTTAGGATTGTCAGCAAAGTGCTGATGTGCAGGATTCATGGTGACACTGTGTGTCATCAGTTGTAACCTTGTGTGATGCTGCAGTGACAAAGAGTAGGTATTCAGCCCAACTGTCTCGATACTGTTTTGCACATCCTAATTTCTCTACAGAGAAAACACTTCCAAATAGGAAAATGGGTGAAGCTTGAGTTTCTCCTCCTAACTAAGCAATATGGGCAGCTAATCCATTAATGGTTAGAATGGGAAGACCGTTTAAAATGGATTCTCAGATTCACCTTTGGGGTGGTTAATGTGTTCATTGGCTGATTATCAGTTAAACCAACAGCTTATGGACCACATCAATATTTATTTTGGCAAGGAAGTTGGTATTTATATAAAAAACAAATCTCACACACAAGAAACCCCAGAATCGATATTCTAGTCTGTACTTCAGAAAGGCAACTCATGTTTTATGCCATATTGAGGTCTATGGTTCAGCAGGGCAAGTCCAGATAAAACAGAGACCTCCCCCAAGAGGAGTTTTTCGGCTTACCAATTTTTATGTACTGTACGTATTTGTACCACCTTGGTGGTGCGTTTCCTGCAGTACCTCAGACAGTGCTTGAGGCTTAGGTTTATACAAGCTGTGATGTCTCACTGATGTTCAGGACATTTTTGTGGGAGGTTTTCTTTAAGGCAAAACATGGAACCCTTGCCAGCTTCTTGGGGAGGGGGGGAGAGAGATAATACTTCAAGGCCTCCCAGGGTGATCAAATTCCTCCAGAAACCAAGGGACGGGCTTAGCAGATGAACTGCTGCAGCAGAAAGAGGAGGAGGGCAACTCCCTAGGCAGTCTATGCAACTTGCTTTGAGACTCAAAAAGCTGAATGCAGATTATTCAGCCAGAGGACTCTTTCAGCCCTGTAGAAAGAGTTGAGTAGAACAAAAAGCAATGGACTGGCTCTCACAGTCCATTACTGATCCTTCTCTCTATAGCTCTGGTGATGGGCTTGTCTGCACTGCAAACACAATCCAGTTCCAAACCTGTTCTCATCTATCATGGTTCCCCTCGCTGCAAGGGGACACTGTGAATCAGGGCATTATGAAGCTGCTGCAAATCCTCTACAAGTGCTCCTCAGTCTCATAGGTAGAAAGACTCAATAGTAGTACTTTGATAAACCCAAATTCAAGTTTCTTCCCAGTCTAGTTTTATTAAACTCAGTGGTGTAAGCTGTTTCCTGTTGTTGTGATTTTAAGATTATGAACTCAGGAGCTGTAATATTAAGAAAGAGACCTGGGGTCTTATCTACTGCTAATCCTACCCAGAGTTGACCCATTGCAAATAACAGGCATGGCTATGGCCAACTTATATCCATTGATTTTCATGAGTCTAATCTGAGAACAGTTGGGTACAACTCACAGTCTGTGCAATTAGCTTGGAGTTGGTGGTGGGGCTATAAAGTACAGTGGTACCTTGGGTTAAGTACTTAATTCGTTCCGGAAGTCCATTCTTAACCTGAAACTGTTCTTAACCTGAAGCACCACTTTAGCTAATGGGGCCTCCTGCTGCCCGGCCGGAGCACGATTTCTATTCTCATCCTGAAGCAAAGGTCTTAACCTGAGGTAATATTCTGGGTTAGCAGAGTCTGTAACCTGAAGCGTATGTAACCTGAAGCGTATGTAACCAGAGGTACCACTGTATTGCCATTTTGGAAGGCACCCCAAGGGGCATCTAGTCCACCCCCTGCAACACAGGAATCACAGCTAAAGAATCCCTGGGCAGATGGCCATCACAACCTCCTGTGAAGGAGAGTCCACAACCATCAGTCACAACCATCAGTTCCACTGCCAAGCAGCTCTTATCGTCAGAAAGTTATTCCTAATGTTTAGTCACAATCTCTTGCCATTTGAATACATTGGTTCAGGCCCTACCCTCCAGAACAGAAGAAAACCAGCTTGCTTGATTTGTTTTTAAGAGAGGTTATCACTGATCCTAACAATATTTACAGTTCCTTCCAGTAGCACCTTAGAGACCAACTAAGTTTGTTATTGGCAATGGCGTAGCGTGGGGGGTGCAGGGGCGGGGGCGGCAGCACCGGGCGCAACATCTGGGGTTAAGGCAAATCCACAGGTTAGGGGGCGCAAATCCACGGGTTAGGGGGTGCAAATCCATGGGTTAGGGGGCGCAAATTACTTGCCTTGCCCCGGGTGCTGACAACCCACGCTACACCACTGGTTATTGGTATGAGCATGCACACCAATAGCAAACTTAGTTGGTCTCTAAGGTGCTACTGGAAGGAATTTTTGTATTTTGTTTCGACTACGGCAGACCAACACAGCTACCTACCTGTAACTAGAAATATTTACAGTGTGTGCAACAGAAACAACATGTAAGCGAGCGCGCTGGGGAGATGTCTGAACTGGTTGGGTCCAAGCACTGTGTTGTTACTGGTTTGTGGGTGGAAGTTATTAACGGCTGTTCTTATTAAATCACTGCTAAATTGGACCGGTGTGCTTCTAAGCTGAAATCCAGCAATTCACAGTTGCCATATTTCCCAAAGACCTCCATTCAAAGCCATGGGATTATCTAGGGAGCATGACACATACGTGAAACATGTGAGACAAAATATGCATCCATAGCTATATTAGCAGTGACTAAAAAAACCAGAGATATCAAAGTCTTAAAGCCATCAGAGCAGCTGAAGAAGCTGGAACATTTTGCTTTAGGACTTTAATCTGTTTTGTTAACAAATTATGGTTTTAGGGATTTAGCTGCATCTTTCCATGATCCAGAGCAAACAAGTGCTGTTTTACGCTTTATGAATTGTAGTTTTACCACTGCAATATTTTGGATTTGGACTTTCTCGTCTTAATTTGCTTTAGGATCAAGCCAAGGGAGGTAAGTGTTCCAGGTGTGCTAGACCGGCCACTTTTGCTTCACAAATCTATTTAGGGCCATATTTTCATAGCTTCTGCTTACTGAGTCACTTCAACAAGATCTATGTCAAAAACACGACTGCCTTTGAAGTGGGTAGGAATATACATTTTGCTTTTAATCCACATTGCTAATCTGCAAATCGCCTCTTTTCCTCGGCCTTTGACACCTGAGATGCCTTTTGGTTTTTTAAAGGGTCCACCCTATTTTTGTGAATGTGTTGAATAGAAATTTTTTTAATTGTTGCATTTTAAATTGTTGTAACCAGCCCTGGGACCCGAGTGCAGGGCAGATGACAAAAAAAAAATATATAGCAACAACAACAACAATTTCCAATTGGTTTATAGACTGTGGGTTGGATCCAGACAACACATGAGGAAATTCCATTCACGGAACCCTGCTGTTGGATAGAAAGGTGGGGGGCTCTTTTTCTGATTCATCCCAAATCTTCCTCCTGCAACACCCTAATTCTACAAAATAAAAGGGGGGGAGGGGGAAACCAACCCCTTTTAACTCCTGTCATAGGGCTTATTTGTAGCATTGCTGCCCCTGTTCCTCCTTCTGAATACAGTGGTAAGGGTAAAGGTAAAGGTACCCCTGCCCGTACGGGCCAGTCTTGACAGACTCTAGGGTTGTGCGCCCATCTCACTCAAGAGGCTGGGGGCCAGCGCTGTCCGGAGACACTTCCGGGTCACGTGGCCAGCGTGACATCGCTGCTCTGGCGAGCCAGAGCCGCACACGGAAACGCCGTTTACCTTCCCGCTAGTAAGCGGTCCCTATTTATCTACTTGCACCAAGGAGTGCTTTTGAACTGCTAGGTTGGCAGGTGCTGGGACCGAACAACGGGAGCGCACCCCGCCGCGGGGATTCGAACCACCGACCTTTCGATCGGCAAGCCCTAGGCGCTGAGGCTTTTACCCACAGCGCCACCCGCGTCCCTTTTGAATACAGTGGTACCTCGGGTTAAGTACTTAATTTGTTCCGGAGGTCTGTACTTAGCTAATGGGGCCTCCTGCTGCTGCCGTGCCGCCGGAGCACGATTTCTGTTCTCATCCTGAAGCAAAGTTCTTAACCTGAGGTAATATTTCTGGGTTAGCAGAGTCTGTAACCTGAAGCGTATGTAACCTGAAGCATATGTAACCCGAGGTACCACTGTATGTCTTTCTCAAGGAATACTTATGCTGTGGTCTGACAGTCATTTCCTCTCTCTAGGGATCCCTTGGAAGTTTAGTTTTTTGGGGGAGGTGGCACAGATTTCTTACAAAATACATAGCACTTCCACTAAACCAATTGTTGAGGTCTTTGGGGGAGTCGCTGTTAGTGCTCCCCCATGGCTCAGATGCAGAGTTTGGCTCAAAGGTCAGCAAACTTTTTCAGCAGGGGGCCGGTCCACTATCCCTCAGACCTTGTGGGGGGCCGGACTATATGGGGGGGGGAATGAACAAATCCCTACGCCCCACAAATAACCCAGAGATGCATTTTAAATAAAAGGACACATTCTACTCATGTAAAAACACACTGATTCCCGGACCATCTGCGGGCCAGATTTAGAAGGCCATTGGGCCGGATCCGGCCCCCGGGCCTTAGTTTGCCTACCCATGGTTTGGATCTACGAGGAGCCGTGCATTGAGTACCAAGTGGCCAATTTTATGCAACTCCTCTCTCGATGAGGTCAGACAGACCCCCTCTGTGTTGAGTTTCCAGTGCCTCCTGAATATTTTTTTCATTCTAGCACTCATTTGTGATCGTATGGTTTTAACCGCTGTCCATTTTCATTGTATTGCATCCCTTGTATGCTGCTTAGAGATTACTGTAGCTGAGCAATATAAAAACCGTCTAAACAAATCAGTAAGAAACTGCCATCCAACTAAGTTATAACTCAGAGCAGACCCACTGAAGTGGATAAACTTGAGTTAGTCACGTCCATTAATTTCAGTGCATCCACTTTGAGTAGGATACAACCCAATATTAATAGGAAGCCTAGTAAATATTAATAGGAAGCTGGTAAAAATTGGTTGTGTAGACATTTTCCCCCCTTCTGTCTTGCATTTTCCTTCTCTAGAGGCAATTCACACTCGACAGAAACCACAAACAAAGCTCCCTTGAAGTTTGGCAGTTCTGAGTGTGGAGGGCCCAGAGGCACAGAAATCTTTTTAAATGGCAGAGTGACAAGTTATATAATCTCAGGCTGCACCCCTTTACCCACTTTACCTGGGAGTAAGCCCCACTGAACTCAAGGAGACTTACCTCTGAGTGCGAACAAGACTGAGTGTATGGGGGGGGGCTCATTTAATTTCACTGCACACAGGTGGTGTAGTGACAATAAAGGTTTTTTAGTAGTAGTAGTAGTATGCATGTGTGTATATATAGCATGGCACTGTTAACACCTCTTCATTTTATGAAACTGATTGAATAATAATTTCTGAATTATTTTAACTGCCTTGGATGAAGAGCTTGTTATACTCAAAATGTGCTGGGCATAATATCTGCTTAGAGACCTGCTTTGTATATACATTAAAATAGCAATAGTAGTAGTAGTAATAATAGGAGGAGGAGAAACTGGAGATCACTTGCAAATGTATTTTCCTTTAGTGCCTTTTTAGGTTTGCCTCTTTGGGGTTTTTTGGGGGAGGGGGGGATTGGTTTTGGAGCCCAACGTATGCAATGCATTGCATACATTTCTTCCTAAGGAGTCTGCAAGCAATTTTTCCATCTCAACCAGTTTGATCCCATCTGCGTAGTCTCATCACATCTGAGCTGATTTAACTGGGGACACGTCACCTTAAAGCACATTATGGATAGTTGTTTTGTGGCTGGTGGGTTTTTTTTTTTTGGTTTTTTTAAAAACGATCAGTTGATTGACTGCTCTTAACAATGTCTCTCTCTCTTTCTCTCTCTCTCCTGCCTTCTCTTTTCCGGCTCTCCATCCATCATGTGGCTCAAAAAGAAGGTTGGGAAAGGTGCTTTTTCTTTCTTTCTTTTGCTGATAAATGAAGTACTGGACGGAAGGTTTGTGTCTCAATAATGAACTCCAGATACTCACCCGATGGTTCTGGTAGGCGGTCACCGCGGTGAAGCGGGTCTCCTCGAAGACAAAAGTCTTATAGTTCTCTTCCGCGTATTTCTCGCTGTCTTTCCTAGGATCCACGTAGACCACGTGGAAGCGGGGCTGGTATCTGTGCATGGAGTTCAAAATGATCTGGATGATAAAACGAGCAAGGGAGATCATGACTGAGTCATTCTACGACACCAAGATGGAACGCAGAGAGGCAAAGAAGGGTCCCACGCAGGAAACTGACAGCGGTGCCAATGGGGTAAAGGCTTTGGGGCAGACGTCCGAGCTGCTGCTTGATAGGAAATCCCCCCCCCCCCCCGCAAGCACAGCAGAGTTGGCTTCTTACCATTTTTGGAGTATGTGAAGCAATTGACATTCCCATCTGAAAAGTCCATACCCCCCCCCAATAAGACCATTAAATACAGAGTTTCAAATTACCTAGCTGAAGTATACCGTGTCACAGAGGGGGCAGGCTGGGGGTGAGGGGGGTCAATCTGTGCACCCCAAACTTTGAGGAGACATCTGGACTGCAGGAGGACTCAACAAGGCCTACAGGTGTGCAGTGTAAATCATTTGGGTGGATTTATTTATGAAATCACTGTGCCCCCCCCCAAAAAAAGGAAAAAAGGAGCAGAATGTCAATGCCACTGCTGAGAAAACTGCACTGGCTGCCAGTTAGCTACTGGGTTAAGTTCAAGGTGATGTTGCTGGTGTACAAAGCGCTATACAATTAGGAACCAGGATACCTAAACATTATTTGTTCATTGTGTCAACGGATGCCAATATTCCACATTTTTTTCCAAGGAGCTCCAGGTGGCACCCATGATTCTCCACCTCCTCCCACAACCACCCTGTGAGGTGGGCTAGGCTGAGAAGCAGTGATTGGACCATAGGTACTAAACACCTGTGCCAGCTTCTCTCTATCCCTCCCTCTCTCTCTCTCTCTCTCTCTCTCTCTCTCTCACACACACACACACACACACACACACACACACCCAGGCCTTTTGACCACACAGCCTCTTTATTTGAGTCAGTACATCCCAATGATTTTGATTGAAACGTTTTATTGATCTGGCTTGGAGGGTGTGCAATCTCTTCTAGCTTAGTTTTTTTGATGGGTGCCACTAAAGAAGGAAGCAACCCATCAAAAAGTTATGCATTCTGAAGTCCAGGACACTTTGAACCATGCTTCTGCCTGCCGTAATTTCGGAGGGCCTGGGCTCTCAAATAAATTCATTCAGGGTTGCAAGTTGTTCTCGTGCAAATTAAACAAGGCAACCTGCTTGGGCACCAAAATGTCTTCAAGTAAAATACGCAACGAAACAAGCAGTTTAAAAAGCATGGCAATGGTGTGCTTTGGTTTTTTTAAAAAGCAAACAGTGTAAACAATAAAATCAGAAGTTCAGTTCAGCGGGAGACTTGTGAAACTGCAGTGTCTCTAGGGGCCAGCAGAATGCCAATGCTGATGGGACTTCTCATATTTCATCAGGGAGGGGTTTCTACAACACTGGTGTCAGCAGTAGAAAAGCCCACCTCTGTGTTACCATGAGCTGATAACCAACTGGGTTCTATTAACTGATTGTAGTGCGCTTGCTGGGGAGCGGAAGGTAAAAATGTGTTGGGGGTGGGGGTTTCTGGTCCAGAATCATTTAGGGCTTTGTATGCAAGGAGCAGGGACGTGGGTGGCGCTGTGGGTTAAACCACAGAGCCTAGGACTTGTTGATCAGAAGGTCTGCGGTTCAAATCCCCGCAATGGGGTGAGCTCCCATTGCTCAGTCCCTGCTCCTGCCAACCTAGCAGTTCAAAAGCACGTCAAAGTGCAAGTAGATAAATAGGTACCGCTCTGGCGGGAAGGTAAACGGCATTTCTGTGCGCTGCTCTGGTTTGCCAGAAGCGGCTTAGTCATGCTGGCCACATGACCCGGAAGCTGTACACCAGCTCCCTTGGCCAATAAAGCGAAATGAGTGTTGCAACCCCAGAGTCGGTCACGACTGGACCTAATGGTCAGGGGTCCCTTTATGCAAGGAGCAGAACCTTAAAATTGGCTCAGTGGCCTTATAGGCAGCTGCTGCAGATCCCCTTGTACTGGTAGGATATGTGCCAGATACAGAGCACCACTCAGCACCCAACTGCAAGAACCACCCCACACCCAAGACTCATTCCATTATTATATTGTTCCATGTTCCCCAATTAGCTTCCGCCCTCCCCAAGACAACACTTACATGTCCATTGTCATCCAATAAATTGTTAGTGAGCTTGAGTTTATCAAAGGAGACAATCTGTTTCATCCACTGGGCTCCCCTAGCCGGGGAATCTGGGTGATAATGGACTCTCCCTGGAGTTGCGGGGTCTGCCTTGCCAGCCACCAGCCAGGAGGAACTGTGAAATGCATATCTGTATGGGGAGAAAAGCCAGCACTGGGTTAGCCGCCATGCTAAGTTTTACATTTGTGAATCTACGTTGCCAACGGCGAATTCAACACTTGTAAAAACATCGATTTTGATACATCAAATAAGCATCCTGTTCTTCAGATAGGTTAAATAAACAACCAATTTAAAGAACGGGTTGTTTATTTACTCTGTCGAAATCAGCATCACCCTGTCTCAATGGACTTCAAAAATATTTAGGTGTTTTTAATTAGCGCAACAATAGTGTGCCATTTTTAACAGTATGATTAGAAAGTGAGGCAGTGTGGTGCAATGGTGTTAGACCCTACTAGGCAAGACCCGGGTTCATGTCCCCACTCTGCCGTGAAGCTCCCTGGGTGACCTTGAGCCTCTCTCTCTCTCTCTCTCTCTCTCTCTCTCTCTCTCAATGTAACCTACCTCAAAGGGTTGTTGTGAGGATAAGATGAATGGCAGGGAGGAAAACCACACGCACTGCCTTGAGCCTTGTGGGGGACAAGCAAAACTTCAAGGTAATAGGTAAGTATTGCATTTGGGCACAGGTCACATCTACTGTAGTGAGGTTTAATTTATGATAGTGTTTATACTTCCGATATATCTATCTATCTACTAATATATAATATATAATATATAATATATAATGGTGGTGGTGCACAATAAATTATAAAATAGGGAAATGTTTCCTGATACCAAGATGAGGTATGGAATGCAGATAGAGAGAATTTATAAGAATAATGATCTGTTGTGACCTTGACGGAAGTGTACAATAGACGAGCCTTCTTGTGTTTTGGCTTATTTTCCACTCCCCCCCCCTTTCCCCCCTCCTTCTTCTTTCCTTTTCCTTTTTTCTTTCCCATAATGGCTTACGTTCTATGCCATGTACTCTGATATTTTTTTGTAGTTTTTTTAGCTTTTTCCATTATTATTATTATGGATTTTTCTTTTGTAATTTTGGTTGTTTATCTGTATTTGTTTAAAGCAAAATAAATGTATTAAATTATAAAGAAATTATAAAATCGTAAAATCCAGAACAAACGGTCAGCACTGACGAAGCACTTGGGGAAACATAAAATTTGAGCAGGTGACAAAATATCAGCTTTGTAGGTATATTTGATTTCAACAGTAATAGGCAGAAGGAACACCATCCCAACCAGAGCTGAAAGCCCCAAAATGGGGCGCTCTGTTGGGGGGCAGGACTGAGATGGCCCAAGATCCACCAGATCCCAAGCTGGTATCCCAGCCAGTGCCAGCCAGTACTGGGCTCCATGCAAATGTAATCGCTGCACCAACCTGGAGCTAGCACACAGATCAGGCCCGATCTGTGGCTGGGCAGTAGACATGGAGATCCCTTTCCCATGTTTCAGTGCTCTGGCGGCAGCAGTGGGTAACTTGGACTGCTTTGCCTACCCCACAAGGAAACTAAGCAAATATGTGGTAATTGTGGGACAGTCAAGTATTGCATCTGTATAGGGCTGTAGCTTTAATCTAGGGAGCCCTTGGCAAAGGAACTTGGAAGCGAGACAAAGAGACCTACCACAGCCAGAGGCCGGGCAACATCTGAGCCACTGCTCAGCCAAAAAATTTGTTCTCATTGCCAGCACGTCGCCTTGAAAGATGCAAAATGACAGTAACTAGAGGGTGCCGCTGACCATAGGCAGAGAGTTCCTTTCACCACAGAGTAACCAAAAGCAGTGCATGGACATCTGGGATGAGAGTAAAAGAGCTCCAAAGTCAGAGTGGGTGTCTTCCAGAAAGGGCCTTTCATTTCTGAACTTTAACATGTGGGTGTGTGAAGTGTCAGGCTTTGCTTTCCCTTCTGTGTGATGGGAACAACTTCACTTTCTGCTTTTGTAGCTTCTCAACAGCTAGCTTGCAAAGAAACTGTAATATTTTAGTATGCTGTCTATAAGTTGGTGGGAACAGCTGATCAGGTGCTTAGGAAGTTAAGAACATTAGAAGAGTCCTGCTGGTTCAAGCTAAAGGGATCTCTGGACACCTAGGCCATTGAGTCATTAGGGCCCAATGGAGATATGGTAGGAATATAACAACAGCCCTGCTAGGTAAAGGTAAAGGGACCCCTGATCATTAGAGGTCCAGTCGTGGCCGACTCTGGGGTTGCAGCGCTCATCTCGCTTTATTGGCCGAGGGGGCCGGCGTACAGCTTCCGGGTCATGTGGCCAGCATGACTAAGCCGCTTCTGGAGAACCAGAGCAGCGCACGGAAACGCCGTTTACCTTCCCGCCAGAGCAGTGCCTATTGATCTACTTGCACTTTGACGTGCTTTTGAACTGCTAGGTTGGCAGGAGCAGGGACCAAGCAACGGGAGCTCACCCCGTCGCGGGGATTCGAACCGCCAACCTTCTGATCGGCAAGTCCTAGGCTCTTTGGTTTAACCCACAGCGCCACCAGCGTCCTTCCTAGGCCACTGAGTCAGTAGGGCCCAATGGAGATATGGTAGGAATATAACAACAGCCCTGCTAGGACAGGCCAAAGGCCTATGTTGTCCGGCATCCTGTCCTTACATTGGAGAACCAAATGCAAAGAGGAACCGAATGTCCCAGGAACTCTCTCTACTTATGATTCCCTGCAGCTGATATTTACAGGCATTCTGCCTCGAAAATATCTATCTAATGCTGAAATCAGCACCAACCCATCTTAGCAAAGGTGATCTTTCTATTAAAAAAAGAGAGAATCATTTCGCATGCCTCACCCGAATCAAGAGAGATGCATGCTGAAACAGTAATTGGTTTAAATGTCATCCCAACAGTTAAATATGTTGACATCTATGCATGTCTACTCAGAAGTAGGGGACGCGGGTGGCGCTGTGGGTAAAACCTCAGTGCCTAGGACTTGCCGATCGCATGGTCGTCGGTTCGAATCCCCGCGGCGGGGTGAGCTCCCGTCTTTCGGTCCCAGCTCCTGCCCAACTAGCAGTTCGAAAGCACCCCTAAGTGCAAGTAGATAAATAGGTACCGCTTTATAGCGGGAAGGTAAACAGCGTTTCCATGTGCTGCGCTGGTGCTGGCTTGCCAGAGCAGCTTCGTCATGCTGGCCACGTGACCCGGAAGTGTCTCCAGATAGCGCTGGCCCCCGGCCTCTTAAGTGAGATGGGCGCACAACCCTAGAGTCGGACACGACTGGCCCGTACGGGCAGGGGTACCTTTACCTTACCTTTTACTCAGAAGTAAGGCCCATTGAGTTCAGTGGAAACTTCTCTCAATGCAGTCTCAAAGCAGGTTTCCAGCAAAACCTGCCACCGATTTGTTCTTTCTTAATGTTTTTATCTTCCCCAAAGTCCACATTGATTCAAGAGAGTGCCAAGAGAGTGCCATTCTCTTTTTGTGATCGTTTATTTAAAAGTCTGCTTTGGCTCAGAGGGAGAATCTTCTCGCCTCGGAGTTGAGCAGAACCATCACTTGCCAAAAAAAATGGAGGGGAAGGAGAGGGTGGGAGGGAGAGAAAGGGAGAAAAAAGAGAGATATCCTCAATTAGATGTTCTATATCCCGTTGCCTTTGACAAGCAAACATTTCTGAAATGCCCTGGGAAGCTGGAGATCTGTCTAAATATTTACATCTTTGGCATCGGGATTTCATAGGAGCAGGTTTTCTGCCAGGCGCCTCGGACCTGGAGCAAAACGCATAAATGCTCCTTTCACTGGGTCTTTGAAAACCCTAGGCATGGGGGGGGGGAGTCAAAGCCTATAACAGGGGGATGGTGGGTGTGAAGGTGGAGAATATAGTAAGCTGGTTTATATTAAGTCAGAACATCAGTCTTGGCAGTGGTTCTCCTGGGTTACTCCCTCCTTCCTTAATCTTCACAACAGCCCTGTGAGGTAGGTTAGGCTGAGAGGCAGAGATTACCCAGTCGGCTTCATAACCAAGTGGGTGGCACTGTGGGTTAAACCACAGAGCCTAGGACTTGCCAATCAGAAGGTCGGCGGTTCAATTCCCCGCAACGGAGTGACCTCCCATTGTTCGGTACCTGCTCCTGCCCACCTAGCAGTTCGAAAGCATGTCAAAGTGCAAGTAGGTACCGCTCTGGCAGGAAGGTAAATGGCGTTTCCGTGTGCTGCTCTAGTTCACCAGAAGTGGCTTAGTCATGCTGGCCACATGACCCGGAAGCTGTATGCTGGCTCCCTCGGCCAATAAAGCGAGATGAGCGCTGCAACCCCACAATCAGCCACGACTGGACCTAATGGTCAGGGGTCCCTTTACCTCCCGGTCCTAGTCTGACATTTTAACCACTATGCCACAATGGCAAGGACAGGGAGTCTCTCCCAGCCCTATCTAGAGATAACGGGGACTGAACTGGGGACCTCCTGGCTGCAAAGCACTAAGCTGTTCCCCAAGCAGCTCCCAAGAAGAAGAGGAAGAGGATGCATCCTTGCACAGGGGAACAGATAGAGCATGGGTAGGCAAACTAAGGCCTGGGGGCTGGATCCGGCCCAAACGCCTTCTAAATCCGGCCCGCGGACAGTCCAGGAATCAGTGTGTTTTTACATGAGGAGAATGTGTCCTTTTATTTAATGCATCTCTGGGTTATTTGTGGGGCCTGCCTGGTGTTTTTACATGAGTAGAATGTGTGCTTTTATTTAAAATGCATCTCTGGATTATTTGTGGGGCGTAGGAATTCGTTCATTCCCCCTCCCCCCAAAAAAATATAGTCTGGCCCCCCACAAGGTCTGAGGGACAGTGGATCAGCCCCCTGCTGAAAAAGTTTGCTGACCCCTGAGACAGAGGCTCTTGTTGCCTAAAATTTGTCTCCCCTGTTTCCCCCACTTCACATTCTTATATGTCCCTTCTACTGCTCTCGTCAACATGTCAATGTCAGCGGCGCACTTAGATCACTTTAGACATTGTCTTATGAGGACACACCTCTTTCGATGGCAAGTAGTCAGTGTCTATGCCTTGCAGATGTTGTTGCACTCCTGCCCCCAGCAGCCCAAGCCAGTATGGCCAGTTGTCAGAGATGATGGGAAATGTAGTCCAAAAATATGCAGGACACCATGTTGGCGATGTGTTTTTAATGGGATTGTTATTTTGTGAGTTTTAATTATGGGTTTTTGTTTTTTTTATTGCTTATGTAATTGGTTCTTATGAACTGCTGAGAAGCCTAGCTTGACTTTAAGTGGATTATTATTATCATTATTATTATCTGACTCAGAAGACCAGGTGCTTACAAGGGTGCTAGTTTCGGGACAACAGGATTAAACTGTGCAGAGCTGGAACATGGAGAGTGACTAAAAATGTATATATATATATTAAAGGTAAAGGTACCCCTGCCCGTATGGGCCAGTCATGTCCGACTCTAGGATTGTGCGCCCATCTCACTTAAGAGGCCGGGGGCCAGCGCAGTCCGGAGACACTTCCGGGTCACGTGGCCAGCGTGACGAAGCTGCTCTGGCGAGCCAGCACCAGCGCAGCACACGGAAACACCATTTACCTTCCCGCTATAAAGCGGTACCTATTTATCTACTTGCACTTTGACGTGCTTTCGAACTGCTAGGTAGGCAGGAGCTGGGACCGAAAGACAGGAGCTCACCCCGCCTTGGGGATTCGAACCACGGACCATGCAATCGGCAAGCCCTAGGCACTGAGGTTTTACCCACAGCGCCACCCGCGTCCCTATATATATATTATCTATTAATAAATAATAAAATCATAATGGTGATGCTTTTCTTCCTTTGAAATATGGGACACGGGATTCTGATAGAGGGGGCCCTGCTCCAAAGTCCTGCGTTCTATGGGGCTTACTCCTCAGTAACTGCCTACAGGATCGCAGACTCTACACCCAGCTGGCTGTTGCTTCCTTCCTGACTGATGTACGCAGCAATTGCAATGGACGACTGCAGGATCCTAAACGCAGCAGAACCTACAGAATAAACACGCATAGGAGTGTTGTAGCAGACAACAGACTGTGGCCAATTAAATTCTCGCGGGTGGGGGTGGGTAGCTGGATCGGGCGGAGGGGGTGGGATGGGTTGGTTCTCAGTCAACCCGATGATCCCACCCACGATTCCTAAGGGCCTGCAAGCCAGAAATCGACTTCCACCGACCGAACCCGTTTGGAAGGATGGCCGTGAGGCGGATTCTTTTACCGAGTACAAAATTGGAGATAATCGCTGACAAATTGCCGAGGCCTCGGAGCGAAAACACGATAAAAGAAGCAGTAAAATTGGGATGTAATCGCCATCCGGGCTTGGCATTCCTGCGCGTTGGAATGGCAGGGCTCAAAGCTGCCGGTTCTGCCGAGCTAAGGGATCCCGTGGGGAGTGTTTTCCCCTCTCTCCCCTCCCGCACGACTTATCCCTCCTTTGAGCCACCGCTCCCCACATTCCCACGGCATTGGCACGCAAGAAAGTGTTTGCACGTCGGAATGCGCCCAGGCGTGTCAGCGTCGCTGAAACGATATGCTCGAGCGGAGCGGCAGTCCAAAAGAGAGGCTGTGTGTGTGTGTGTGTGTGTGTGTGTGTGTGTTTCAACTTCTGCTTTCAATGTTGCAATTATAAGCGTGAATTATCTTGGAAGTAAAGCCCAAGTAATATAAATGGGACTTGCTCGTGAGTAAAGATGGGTAGGGCCGGGCTGTGATAGGCTTTGGGACACTTTAGCTGGGAAGAGTAAGCCTGCATCGGGCTGCTCGACTGAAAAGTTACTTTCCCGTCTCCAGGGAAGGGAAAGAATTCAAGAACATGATGCATGGAGAGATTGTGAATTTACAACTTTTGAGCTCCCTCGTGGGTTGGTTCATATAAGAGAATAAAGCAATACAAATGAGAATCCATTAGATAAATAAATAACCTGTCCTGATCTGGGATTTAGGAGTGCTTATATCGAACTTGGTTTTGGGAAATTTTTTTAAAGGTTTTTGTTTGTTTTGTTTTTGTTTTGCATTGGTTCCTGATATTTGCAATCGCCCCTTAGACTTTGATTTTAAGAGAACATGAAAACACGACATCATACAGCTTGAACACTAGCAAACCCCTAAAGAACCACTGGCGACTCCAGCCCCACAACTCTGCCCCCATAACCGTTGCAAATGACCTTGCAACACCATCCTCACCACCATATCCATTTAGAAGCGAGTCCGAACTGAATTCAACGGGGCTCACTCCAAAGTCGGCGGAGTTTGGGAGTCTGGGGTTTTTTTATACTTGTAAACCGCTTAGTGCAAAGCGCTGAACAAGCGCTCCCTAGTCTCCCAGAGCTGCGAGGGACTCCAAAGTTTGCTGAGCGCCGATTTGGGCTCCCTTAATGAGAATCTTTGCTTCCAACCCGGAAAGAAGAGGTGCCCTTGTACTTGCCGGTATCGCTTGTCGTCCACCGGTACGAAGTCCATCAAGAGCATGTAGTCTGCCATAGGGTCCATCCCAAAAATCTTCACCTGGAAGGTGGGGAACATCCTCCTGGATTAGGGAAGGAAAGGACAGCGCAGGTGATGAGCCAGTTACAGAAAAACGTTTTTTTTCTGATCCTGCACCCGGTGGATGGCGAGGTACGTGGGAAAACAAACCAAACCAACACATCTGAGCCGACTGGGCGCTGCCCTAACGACCCACATATTAGAAGCGCTGAAGCGGCTGCGCTGGAGCTGCCTCATAGCAGATCATTGGGCCAGCTAGCTCAGCATCCTCCCTACACCGACTGACAGCTGCTCTCCGGGATTTTAGACCTGCGACGGGTCTCTCTTCCGCCTGGAGAGGCCTTCAAAGCGGATGGTCTACCAAGGAGCCGCAGCTGTAGCGCACACACTGTGCGCGCGGCTGTTGGACCCCTTTTACAGTGGTACCTCGGGTTAAGTACTTAATTCGTTCCGGAGGTCCGTTTTTAACCTGAAACTGTACTTAACCTGAAGCACCACTTTAGCTAATGGGGCCTCCTGCTGCGGCCGGAGCACGATTTCTGTTCTCATCCTGAAGCAAAGTTCTTAACCTGAAGCACTATTTCTGGGTTAGCAGAGTCTGTAACCTGAAGCGTATGTAACCTGAAGCATATGTAACCCGAGGTACCACTGTATTTGAAGGCCCAGTTAGCTGGAGAGCCTTTGCCTGTCAAACATACTAAGTAGTTCTGGGATAAATGGACACATAGCCTTTTCCTGGCGTGACTCTGCGAGGCAGCTTCACCTGCGCTCCTCACCCTGGTGTTTGGAAGGTTACGCACAACCCAGGCAGCAAATGCAAGTCTCTGCGGCACCGGGGAGAAAACCTTTCAGCCCGTCTAAGACAAAACTAATTGCGCTTGCAATACCTAATTATACCTAATTGCAAATTCAAATGTATCCCTATCGTGTTGTATGACTTCCTTGATATTGTTTGTGGGCTGGAACAGGTCTGTGACCGAAATAATAAATTCATTCAGTCTTTGAAGCCCGTCCATTGTCTCGGAAAGAAAGTGGCTTTAGTGGCGGGCCTAGAGATGAGTTTAAATCCAAGCGCCTGTGTTGTGACAATGGTTTGGGTAAGCATCGTCAGCCTGTCATGGTAAGGTTGGTTAGTTGGGCTGGCAATGCCCTAAGAACAGGCTAGGAGGAAAGATTCGTCAGAAGAGGCAATCCCGAGCGCTTAAAACCAGTGGGACTTTGGGTAGCAATATAAAATGCTCTCCTCGGCTGGTTACGCACCATACATCTGAAGCAGATTACATCACACACACGAGAAATTTTGGGAACTATAGTTTACCCGCCACAGGGCTTCGAGTCACAGCACTCTTAAACTACAGTTCCCATCGTCCTTTGGGGAGCGGGGGAGCTATGCGCTTTAAACGCGTGGCGTGTGCGCGCAGCCCTTGTCTGGCTGTCGTAAACATGCTACTGGAAGTGAATGGGGAGCGCGCCCAGCTCAGTGGGCTAGCGAGTGTTCTGGTTCAATCTCCGGTTTAAAGGGGCAGGGGTAGATTTCATAGAATTGCAGAGTTCGAAGGGACTAAGTGGGTCATCTAGTCCCTCCCCCTGAAATGCAGGAACGTTTCGACCAAGGAGGGGCTCAAACCCTTGATGGCCCCGAGATGGAGTCTTATGCGCTACCAACGGAGCTACTCCCCGCAGGAAAAGGGATGGTAGGAAGGAGCACCCGTCGGGGGCTTTGGAGAGCCGCAGCAGGGTGTGTAGACCAGGCTTCCTCAACCTCGGCCCTCCAGGTGTTTTTGGCCTACAACTCCCATGATCCCTTGCTAGCAGGACCAGTGGTCAGGGATGCTGGGAATTGTAGTCTCAAAACATCTGGAGGGCCTGGTGTAGACTACAGAGGGCTAGATGGACCGAGGTCCTTCCTATGTTGTTCCTTAATCCACAACATAGAGAGAAGCAGAAGAGCTCAGGGGGATCCAGTAGCTTGCTCACAACTATGTTTCGGTTGGCCCTACGGTTCCCCACCCCACAGACCAATACACTGCTCTCACGCTGGCTCTCGTCTTCATTCAGAGTTGGGACCCCACGGGTCATCTAGTCCACCCCCCCAATGCAGGCAACTCTGATGCATCCAATCTGAAACCATACGGGGAGCGCCCAGCTTAGCTTTGCAAATGTGCCAATTGCCTGTTTCATTGTTTCTTCTCACCCTGTTCCCTTGTTACAGCTTCGTGGTATTTTAGGGGCACCGGAAATGTAGCTGCTGGTCACAGAGAAGAATAGCGCAACGGTGCCAAAAAGGACACTTAAATCCCTTTGACTTCAGTGTGGTTTTCTTCGGAAGAGGGAGTGGCAAACATCTGCTTAAACTTATAAATCCAAATATTTTCGCTTCTAGCAGGGCTGGATTTTTCTCTCTCTCTCAGAGAGCCAGTGTGGTGTAGTGGTTAAGAGCGGTAGTCACGTAATCTGGGTAACCGGGTTCGCGTCTTCGCTCCTCCACATGCAGCTGCTGGGTGACCTTGGGCCAGTCACACTTCTCTGAAGTCTCTCAGCCCCACTCACCTCACAGACTGTTTGTTGTGGGGGAGGAAGGGAAAGGAGATTGTTAGCCGCTTTGAGACTCCTTCAGGTGGTGATAAAGCGGGATATCAAATCCAAACTCTTCTTCTTCTTCTTCTCTCTGAGCTTTGGATGTCTCCCCTCCCCCCCCCCAACGAAAGTACAATTCTAGGGGCGAAAAGAGGAAAGTGAAAGCAGCCTGAGGAATTCTTAATAGGCCGACCTTCGCACCCCCTCCTCCTCTACTTCTTCCGAGGGCGCACGCTGCTCCCGAGATTCAGCAGCTACGGATCAGGTCCCACATGCACAAGTCTCAAGTGCAATATTTCCCGCTCCCAGGGCCCAGGCTACCCCGCCTCAGGCTGCTGGTGGCGGCTTCTCCGCGGTGCAATGAATTCAAAACCCTTGCAGGCAGAAATCCAGCAGGTGAAGGATTCTGCCTCGCCTTTCATCCAGTATGCTTCTTTTCTAAGTGCGGGGAGCTTCTTCGCCCCCTCAAGTTGCACTCAGGGTAGACCCATTAAAATGAATACACCCAAGTTAGTCGAGTCCGTCCGTTTTAATGGGTCTACTCTGCATAGGGCGAACGTCGGATAACAGAAGACCCTTGAACATTGGGAACGGATGTGGACCGGCCAGGTGAAACAGCGCCGCTTGAGCCTGCTGCAAAGCGGTTGGTTCTCCGCCTACGTTTCCCCCCGGGGCCTGTCTGGAGCCTGCACAAATATGCGCGGCATCCTGGCTTGGGAAGGATTCCCCCTCCCATCTCCAGGATGAGCGCCCCAGCTTCCAGAAGGGTGCCAGCGTGATTCTGTTGCACCAAAAGCAAGCGAAGAGCCGCCCAGTGGGACGTTAAAGGCCAACAGATTTACTGTGGAAGAAGTTCCGGTGGATTGGCGCATTCCCGGGGTAGGAAAAGCGCTCCATAAGAAGGCGATCCTGTTCCAGTTTGCCTGAGAATGACATACATACGCGAACAGGAAGCTGCCTCCCACGGACTCACCCTCATTGGTCCATCTGCCTCAGTACTGTCTACACTGACTGGCAGCCGTTCTCCAGGGTTGGAGATGCTCTGAGACTCAGCTACAGCCTTTCCCACGAAGCCCCTTTATAAGCTCCATGAACGGTGCTAACTTCGCCGAAAATCGCTCTGTAAGACGCTTCTTCTTTCCTCCCCCAGTTGTCCGGGCATATCGTCTCCGAGGTTTTTTGGTACTCCGTGCTGAGCAGGATGCAGGACTCGGAAGTTAGCAGCATCGCATGGGGCATTAACTCTTATTGGGGGCGAAATACCCCAGCGCAACCAATGGCTCTGGCAGCAGACCCAAACCTTTGCTCGAAAGTGTGCAGAGGAGACTAGGTGTAAAAGCTGTGGGAATGTTAAGGAAGGTAGGAGAGGATACTGTATATTGTTTTGATATTATCCCTCCTCACTCACGCTAGTGAGTATACAGCAGCGCACATTCCCTTTGCAACTTATTAGAAGCAAGTTGATGATTCATTAGAATCCTTTAACGAAGCAATCAGGTCTGGCTTGTCCGGTCTGGATTGTTCCTGGTAAGTTTCCCCTTTATCTCCCTCTTAGAATAATAACAACACAACACAGTCTTCTTTAAAAGAATAAAGTTTTACTCACATTCAGTCCACAGCAGTAACCTGAAAGCAGGCTTTATCATGTGGTTACAGTGAAAAGAAAAAAGGGGTGTGGGTGGCGCTGTGGGTTAAGCCAGAGAGCCTAGGACTTGCCGATCAGAAGGTCGGCAGTTCGAATCCCCATGACGAGGTGAGCTCCCGTTGCTCGGTCCCAGCTCCAGCCAACCTAGCAGTTTGAAAGCATGTCAAAGTGCAAGTAGATAAATAGGTGCCGCTCCGGCGGAAAGGTAAACGGTGTTTCCGTGCGCTGCTCTGGTTTGCCAGAAGTGGCTTAGTCATGCTGACCACGTGACCCGGAAGCTGTACCCGGCTCCCTCGGCCAATAAAGCGAGATGAGCACCACAACTCCAGAGTCGGTCACGACTGGGCCTTAATGGTCAGGGGTCCCTTTACCTCTACAGTGAAAAGAAGTCTGAGCTGCATCTCAGTCTTTCCGCTTGTGGGCTCCATCCTATGTGAAGGTTGAGCCATGCGCTGGCTAAGAGCCAGGAGAGCAAGAGTACAAGACTAAGAGTAAAATCTGACTTCTAATGGCTCTTAAATGCAGGTATCTTCAACGGGAGTGGCCATAGGACTGTGGTACAGGATCTGCTTCGCATGCACGAGGTCCCATGTTGAATCCTGGCTCCTTCACGTAGGTCTGAAACCACCACTGCTAGTCATTGTTGACAAAGCTGAGCTAGATGGAGGAATGGTCTGAATCCCTATAGAGCAGTTTCCTCTGTGCCTATGCCTAGCTTGGCTCAGAAGAGCTTGAGGAGATCAGCTGAGGAAGGGCCCAGCATCACAAGACTGGAGGCACGTTCCGCAGGCGAGCCCCTTTCCCAGGCGACCAAACTTTTC